ACCAGTGCGAGGAAGACCAACCGGTTGTCAGCGACACTCGCAGGGGTACCATTAAATCGATGCTGAGCCTCGCCTCCAACTGTAGCCTGCTACGCCACGCCCGATTCAGCCGCTCCTCTTTTGCTCTGCCGGAGGTCCTAAAAAAGCGTTCCAACCGACGAATGCACTCCAGTCCTTTTACCTCCTCCTCCTATCTACGACGATCTCTGCGCGGTTCCATGCCGCCGTGGTTGGTGGCCGATTCCGCTGAGGGGCGACCGCCGAAGGAGGTAGAGGAAATGCCAAAATTCTCCATCGTTGCCGAGGAGAAGGAGGAGGCCGCGTCAAGAGAGAGACTGTTGCCATCGACTGATGGACAAACAGCGAGTACTACGGGGGAGACCAGTGGCAGTGTCACTGTGCCCTGCGATATTACCATATGCGTGGACAAATGCATCACACCCAGTGCTAGCAGCCTTTTGGCGTCAAACGAGGCCTCAGATAGCAGTAAGATAAACAGCATTTCGGAGCGCAATGAAAACCCTCCATATCAAAATCAGGTAAGCATGATGGTAAACAGATGTTTATTCCTTTGGAGTCCAGTTTTCATAAAGAATTCCCGAAAAAAGGACTTAAATTTATTTTGTAAATACGTCTGTATTTCTACTACTACTGTACTATTGACGAATAACTGTCGGTTACCGCTTACGTCGCGATAGGCTGGCTTTTAGTTAAATCTAATTTAGCGTCCGTATAACTAGCGATATAATGATGGTGGATACTGTATGCATGCAGATAATATAAGTATGCGGCTAATACAAGTGAACAGGCGAGTCCCAGGGCGTAATTCTGAAGTTCTTTCTCAGGACGTACTTCACTTTTGACGGAGCAATCTACGAGCAGGTGAAGGGGACACCAATGGGTTTGTGGGATACGATGTGGCCCGCCGAGATCATAGATGATCGAACGTATCCCAACTGTTATGAGCTAGTGGATATGATAAAGCGTGAAAGGCCAGATTTTTATGAATGATTTAATAAGGTTAGAAGGAGTAGAATATGAGGAATGGGTAAGGGACTCCCAGACAAGTGAAGTCCAGCCATGAATGGGCCGGAGTCCAGAGGCGCAGTCCGACAAGTAGATCAGCGGGTCCGAACAACCACAACCGAACAGTAGGCCGTCAGTTCCGGGAGTGAA